ATATCTTACTGTGTAACTAAAGTTGCTTATTGAGCTATTTTAAACAGTGGACATTCTTTATTTTTCTCCCTTATTCCTCCTCCTCCATTCTTTATATGTTGGTTGTTTTATTCTATGCTCTTTTGTGCTTCCTTTAACTGCTTTTGTGGGTAGTTGATTTTATTTTTTGCCTTTAGTTAGTATTTGGTTGGTCTGCTTTCTTTGCTGTGATTTTATTCTCTCTGGTGACATCTATTTAGTCTTAAGAGTGCTCCCATCTAGAGCAGTCCCTCTAAAATACCCTGTAGAGGTGGTTTGTGGGAGGCAAATTCCCTCAACTTTTGCTTGTCTGGGAATTGTTTAATCCCTCCTTCATATTTAAATGATAATTGTGCTGGATACAGTAGTCTTGGTTCGAGGCCCTTCTGTTTCATTGCATTAAGTATATCATGCCACTCTCTTCTGGCCTGTAGGGTTTCTGTTGAGAAGTCTGATGATAGCCTGATGGGTTTTCCTTTGTAGGTGACCTTTTTTTTCTCTCTGGCTGCCTTTAATACTTTGTCCGTGTCTTTGATCTTTGCCATTTTAATTATTATGTGTCTGGGTGTTGCCCTCCTTAGATCCCTTGTCATGGGAGTTCTGTGTACCTCTGTGGTCTGAGAGGCCATTTCCTCCCCTAGTTTGGGGAAGTTTTCAGCAATTATTTCTTCAAAGACACTTTCTATCTCTTTCTCTCTCTTCTTCTTCTTCTGGTACCCCTAAAATGCGGATATTGTTCCTTTTGGATTGGTCACACAGTTCTCTTAATATTGTTTCATTCCTGGAGATCCTTTTATCTCTCTCTGCATCAACTTCTATGCATTCCTGTTCTCTGGTTTCTATTCCATCAATGGCCTCTTGCATCTTATCCATTCTGCTTATAAATCCTTCCAGAGTTTGTTTCACTTCTGTAATCTCCCCCCAGACATCTGCAATCTCCCTCCGGACTTCATCCCTTAGCTCTTGCATACTTCTCTGCAGCTCCATCAGCATGATTATGAGCTTTATTTTTAATTCTTTTTCAGGAAGACTGGTTAGGTCTATCTCCTTCTCAGGGTTTGCCTCTGTGATCTTGGTCTGTATCAATTTCTTCTGCCTTTTCATGGCGATAGATATATTTGTGGGGAGCTGGCATGTGTGTTGGGTAAGAGAAAGTCCCTTCTTGCCAGTTTGTAGCCTTCCTCCCCTGGGAGAACAGTGGCCTCTAGCGGCTTGTGCTGGGCAACTGCGTGCAGATGTGGCTTCTGATCTTGCCCGGCTGCTATGGAGTTTATTTAGCTCTGGAGTTGCTGTGGGCATGGCCTGCCTCAGGCTGCTTCTCCAATATGGTGGAGCTGGGTTGGAGGGGGAACAGGCGGGAAACTGTTTATCACAGTGAGGGGCCTCTGAGCTGCACTGTGGGGGTTCAGGTGCCCAGAGTTCCCCAGGATTCCCTGCTGCTCGGCTAGGTGTCCCGGGGCACTTCCGTCCAGCTGTGGGGTCCCTGTCCCTTTTAGACTTTCAAAAAGCACTCACTTTTCTTTGTCCTGGGTGTGCCAGCTGCGGGGACCCACTCACAGGTCTTACTGTCCTCTTTCCCTAGTTTCCAACACCCCACGCATGCACTGTGTGTCTCCGCTCCGGTGCGGATGGCTGGGGCTGGGTGATTAGCAGTCCTGGCCTCCCTCTCCCTCCCTGCTCCAACTCCTCTCCTCCCACCAGGAGTGGGGGTGAGGGGCGCTCGGGTCCCGCCAGGCCGTTTCTTGTATCTTACCCCCTTTGCAAGGTGCTGGGTTCTCGCAGGTGTGGATGTAGTCTGGCTGTTGTCCTGTGTCTTCTGGTCTCTCTTTTAGAGAGAGTTGTATTTGTTGTATTTTCAAAAATGTATGTGGTTTTGGGAGGAGATTTCTGCTGCTCTACTCATGCCGCCATCTTGGTTCTCTCTGGGCCTTTGGTGGTCTTATCTGCTTGAGTGGGGATCACAAAAGGAGCCCTGCATGTAGAATGTAAAGACCAGTCAATAGGAAAGACAGCCTTGAATTCAGTTTTCTGCTTCAAATTTGCTTTTAAGTTAGGCACTGTATTTTCTTTTATTAGAACTGGTTTCAATGTAAAGACCAGTCAATAGGAAAGACAGCCTTGAATTCAGTTTTCTGCTTCAAATTTGCTTTTAAGTTAGGCACTGTATTTTCTTTTATTAGAACTGGTTTCAGTTGTATTAATATCATTTGCAGTCAAATGTACTCTAATGCTCAATATAATACTTGGAAGTAGGATGTCACATCTGACAGGCTTTGAAGTATGGAATTTTTAGTGTCGTTAGATGGATGTGAATATTCTTCCACTAACAAGTGGGAATTTGGCAATCTGTATTTGATAGTAAATCCTTATTTGATAGTTAAATAATTGCTTTATGTGTATGTGTGTGCATGTGTGTGTGTGTGTGTGTGTGTGTGTGTGTGTGTGTGTGTGTATTGGGGTACTGCATATATAATTTGCCTCCAGGATTTGGAAGTTTAGAGAACTAAGAAGAAAAATATCAGACTGTAGAGTTGTGTTGGTTTTGCTTGTGGCTTTTAGTACTGTCTTGAAAGAAGTAGAGACATAACTTTGCTGAGAATCACAGATCTTGGAGGGTATTGTAGACCTTTGTGACAACTTAAGCTTTTGCTTTGAGTGAAACGGAAAGCCACCGAATGGTTTTCAACAATGGAATGAGATGGTCTCAGTAGTGATTTTAAAGGCTCACTTTGGCTTTTGTGTAGAGGACAGACAGTAGAAATGCAAGGACCAGTTAGGAATCTGCTCTAGCCGAGAAATGGTGGTGATACAGGTTAGAGTTTCAGGTATATGGATCAGTCTAACGTACTGACCATGAAAGATGATTACCCATTCAGCTCTCCAATACTGATTATCCAGAGAAACTAAGTAACAGATAACCTAACATAACCATAAACACTGACCCCTTCTAATTTCCTGGGGATCCTTGCGTGCTTTTTTTTTTTTTAGCTCCTCAATGGGATCAGTGTTAGGCTGAGATATTTCAGAGCATTTGTTCCCAGAGGGCAGAACACTTAGCTTTATTTCTCCAAGATTCCATGATTTCCTGTTGTCATTCTAGACAATAAAGGTGCAAGTGTCCATTGAAGCCTCTATATTAAAGCTATGTATTATAAATATGGGCAAAAGTGATGACAGGTATGTTGTGACTGTTTATAAATGTGTTACTTAAATCTAGAAAGTTTTGGATGTGTATTATTAAATAATTATGCTATTATTTAAACAGCTTAAATTTATTTATGAAAATTATATGCACTTTTGAGGCAAACTATTAAAGGAAACTGTTTTTAGCTATGTAGAACTCTATATTGCTCTCTCTTGAGAATTGATCTCAAACTAATTAAGTGTTATATCTAAGAAGAGTAAGAGCACTAATTATGCTTATAATGAAAAATGATATGTAAATAAAATGTGTCCATGTCACATAATATTAAGGACACTAAGAAGGATCTATACTGCTTATTACAGTGAACCTTGTTAATTTGAACAAGCATATTAATTTTTACCTGTAATATAGTGAGGAAGACATTTTAATATGGATTTGTAAACATATTTAAAGAACACTTATAACTCAATTATAAGAACAGAATCTAATAAAAAATAGGAAAAGATTGTATTGTTATTTTTGAGTTTTGAAAACATTTTCTTCTAGACAGATGCAGAAAGGAAGTTAGTATTATATTCTCATATTTAAGAATTATTGCTGGATTTATGTATTTTAATGAAGAAAAGTATTAATTGATTAAAAACCAATTGGCCAAGATATTTTCCCATGTTACTGTCTAATTAATAATTTATATTTTCCAAGGGTAAGCAGTTTTGAAAGCAAAGTTATTTTCTCCTGTATACTACTATTTAGCAAACCATATGCTAAATGCTGCAAACACTACATTCCATCAAAAACCCACTAGGCTTTTTTTCTCAGAAATTGACAAGCTGATTCTGAAATTGAAAGAAAAATGTGAAGGACTTAGAAAAACCAAAACCATTTAGAAAAAGAAGAGCAATGTGAGGGACTTAAACTGCATGATTTTAAGATTTACCATAAAGCTACAATGGTTTGGATACTGTGGTATTACTTAAGTATAGACATACACATTGGTGGCACATGATAAAGTTTAGAAATAAACCTACATGGATATGGTCAATTCAGTATTGATAAAGGTGCCAAAGTGGGGAAATAAAGAGTTTAAAAAATGGTGATGGGAAAGTTGAATATCCACATGGGAAAAAATTGAATGTAAAATCTTTAGTACCATTTACAATACTTAACTCAAAACTGATCATTGACCTAAACTGAACAAGATCTATAAAGCTTCTAGAAGAAAATGAAGGAAAAAAAAAATCTTTTGACTTTGGGTTAGGCAAAGATTTCTTAGACTGAACACAAAAATCATGAACCATAATATCCAAAAGCTGATAAATGGTACTTCATCAAAATTAAAATTATGATGTTCTTCAATAGTCACTGTAGGAAACTAAAAAGCCATATAGAATGGAAGGAAATACATTCCAAACACATATCTGAAAAATATGGATTTGTACACAGATATTTAAAGAACACTTATAACTCAATAATAAGAACAGAATTAATAAAAATGAGGAAAAGATTGTATTGTTATTTTTTAGTTTTGAAAACATTTTCTTCCATTCCACAGTTTTCCTTATGCCTTAGGAACCACCGTGTACTGAGTTGCCCCAAGACTTGTCAGGCCCCCAAAAACAAAACATTTATTACCTCACAGTGTCTGTAGGCCAAGAATCTGGGAAGAGCTAGCCAGGTTTCTCTACCACAGAATCTCTCATAAGACTGCAATCAAAGCGTAGATGAAGGCTGCAGCCATCTTAAGGCTCAAGCAGTGGATTAGCTTCCAGATTCACTTGTGTGGCTGCCGGAATCCGTCCCATGGACCCCTGTCTCTTTCCCAGGGCTGCCTCTAAAGATGACGGCAAGTGAAGGCCCCACACAGAAAATTCTTGCAACCTATTCTCCGAATGATATCCCATCAATACTGTCTTATTCTTTCATTAGAAGTGAGTGAGTAAATTCTGTGCATACACAAGGTTAGGACATTACATAAAGGCTGTGAATACCAGGAGGCAAAGGATGTTGGGAGGCGATTATAGAGGCACCAACTGTAGTAAACTCTCTGTAACCCAGTGATTTATACCCTTCCCGCATACTAAATACCCAAGGCCCTCAAAATTTGGGTTTTGTTTATTTTCTGGTAGAGAGTGTATTATTTCAACAGAGTGTATTATGATAGTGCCTTTATTTCTACAAGACCACCGTTTAGAAGTTTATAACTTACTACAACTTCATAACTCAGTTAAGGGAATTGGCTTGAATAGGAAGCTTTTATTTTCTCTTTACTCATAAAATATATTAACACATTATACAAATGTATACTTTCAAGGAGAAATACTTTTTTTGTTCTGCTAAATATCTTTCATTTCCTTTTTATTTCTAAATAAAACATTAGAATTTTTATAATATACACTTACAACCTCTAAATGACTCCTCTTTAAAATAACTCCACATTATTTATTTATGTTTCCATTAATTCTACTCTGAATCAAATTGCCACCTCCAACATTTGAGAAATTTGGAACTGATATAATTTTTAGGTATAAAGTAAATGGTTTATTTTTCAAACTTGCCAAGAAAAAATTTAAGAATATTAGTGGACATTTTTTTTCTGCCTTTGGATTAAAAGTAACATTTTTAAAAAATATTAAAACATTATAATCTTTTCTCCTTATGATTTTAAAAATTAAAGAAGTTTGGATAGTTTTTGCAAACTTTTTCCCATTTCAAAACAATTTTGTTCTCTGATATTCACCATATCTTTTTTCTTAGCTCTTCATATCACTACCAAATCAGCTCACAGTCCAATTTAATCATCTAAATCACATCTATATATGGATGAAACCCTGCAGGTGTTTTTCCTTAGTACAGCCCCTCAGTTATAGTGCCTCTCAAACTGTAGAGCTATGAGACCAAAAAGACATGTTATATGCCTTCTGTAGACCTGTTATTAATGGTAAGACAGACAAGGATAACTGTTAGAGACATTCCAGCTGTAAGGGGTAATGAGAGGCACAAAGTAGTCACTGGTCCATATGAATTTTAAAATCTATATAAATGTTGGAAGCACTTGGCTTATGTTTCAAGGCCCAAGAATCATTCTTTTCGGCACTCACATCTACTCTCTGGACTCTTGTTTTCACCCTGTGAGTCATTTTCCATTTTGCATGAAAAGTAGCACTCTTTTGGTCTAAGCAAATTTAGTATCCTGCTTCCTGCAAGTAGAATCCTGGAGGCCCAAAGACCCCCATTCTCATTTAGTACTCACTTTATTTCAGCCTATGTGCTGCCTATAGAAGTTGAAGATTTTTAAACCATTAAGTCCTGGCTCTTTTTTTTTTTTATTATTAAGGTATGATTGATATACACTCTTTTTTTTTTTTTATTGAAGGGTAGTTGACAC